CTTTCCCTAAGTCCTCTTTTAGCTTTTATGTTTTGGTCTTTGTTTTAATGTTTTGAAAGTCGTGATTGTATTTTTCCAACTTGAATCATTTACTTATATATGTCACCTCCAAATGTAGGGGCATATATGATACATGGTGCCAACATTTATCCACCTTTCTGTTCATGTAAGAACATGCAAACTACTTCATATGAAGGTGTGAATACCACTGGAAGTTATGTGCCCACAATTTTAGTTGAAAATGAAAGAAAGCAAAAGGTATGAATTTCTCATTGTGTAGTTGTCTATTTGGTTTCAAGAATAAGTTCGAAGTGCATATGGGGTGCTCAAACGAGCAAGAGAAACTAAAAATAAAACAAAGTTTTGAGTAAAATAAGATAAAATAAAAGTAGTTACAGTAATTATTACTGAGTTTCTGAACTATTTTCAGAGAAAAAATATGGAAAGGGAGAATTGAGTCATTTTTCCTTTTCTCAACTTTCTTTTATATGGTGTAACCGTAAAATCTGAAAACTGACCTTCAATATCTGAATCAAGAATTTGAACTGTGAGAAAACCAGAACTATGAGAGAAATCCGAAAGATAAAATGTTTTTACTATGCAAAATGGGTTTGAATGGGGGATAATGAGGAGGGAAGGTGAATTTCAAATTAGCTGGTTTGAACCAGTTTTTGCAATCCGAATTGGGTCCTATTCTATCTCCCAAACGCCCATTTGGATTGGATGTTCAATCCAAATTGTCTCAGATGGGTTTGCCCAAAAACCAAATGCCCTCTTCGTTAGCTAATCATACATTTTGATTTTCTGTCATTTCTTATTAGCATTTTGTTAAAACGTGTGGTGATCTTTATAATTCCATTGCTCTAAGTTTAGGACAAATCATCAGAGCAATTGGAAAGAATCGGGGCATTTCAGAAGCTGCCTATGGTTATGCCTTCTGTTGATATTCTTTATTCAGCTCTAAAGAAGGCCAGGAGAGTTTTTCCAACTACGGGTATTTGTTATGTGCAGTTTGTTTGAGTTTCTTGTCATAACAACTTTATGGTATGAGATGGAACTCTGCTCATAATTCCTGCTTCTAACCTTGATATTTAACTTGTTTATTTCTCAGGTATTGCCAACATTGCAAAACGAGAGAGAAATAGAGGTGCGAAGCAACTTGATGCGCTGATGAAGGTGCGTTCTTAACTTTGAGATCTATTATGCCGATTGTTGTTAGTTAAATAAAGTACCTTCCGGCTTCCGGCCTCAGCAAATAAATATTTTTTGATAAGAAAATCTTTATTGATTAAAAATCAATAACAAGGGCAGAGGATAAGGTATCCTCAAGGCTGAGAAAAACAGGAAAGTAGTCAGGAACAGAAACAACGTCTGACCAGGAAAAAAGAAAAACAGAGAACAGAAAAAGCTACCAAATCATCTCCCTATTACATCTTTCCAATTTAAAATAACCAAAGAAAATGGAAATCCGTTAAAAGCTTTATCTGACGCAGCTCAAAGTGAGGCTGAAAATTTGCTTCCTCAAAGATATCAATTGACTCCATCTCCAATTCCTCGAAAAGGCATTTGTTTCCAAGCAAATAAATAATTAGTGTATGCCTTGAAAAAGTAAAATCTTCTATTTTGGATCTTCAGTGAAGGATTGTTGTCGAGGCTGACATATAGCTTTCTGATCCATGCAGGAACTAGCAGTTCCCTTAAGGACTTACTTGGAGAATTTTCCAAAGAAAAGTAATCTTCATCCTTACGAGCGATCTCTTATTGAATTGACTCTTGGGGATGGAAACTATGAAGAGGTAAACAAAAAGCAATCTATAGTCAACATGAATTCATGTGGATCATTCACCTTATTCATCTTATAACATTAACAAATTTTTTGTAGTGTCCAATGATAAAACTTAATGCAGAATGTGTCCAAGTTATGTTAAATCTCGATAACTCATGTTTTACTTGTGCACTCACATGAGTATAAGTTCTCTTTTTTTTTCCCCCCAATGAATATCCCTACTTAGTCAGTAATCCAAGTTATTGTCATACATCATGACGGATTTACTCAAATTTTCATTTGCAACACTTGAGACATTTCCATAGATCTTCAATCTTGAAGCTTGCTATGGCTATTAATTCTTGAATAATACATGGTTTATAGGTGTTGGGCAAGGTCGACTCTCTGAGGAAGAAGGTGGTATCCGTTGGAAAGGAACATGCTTCTCTCTGTGCAAAGGTTGGATTCATTCGGCACTTCATGCTCATCATATGACTTTCATTTTTGCTGTTTTCTGATCATCAACCCCTAAGACGTGTGCTTTGACAGCCCATATCACACATTATCTGATGATTCAGTATGACATACTTCTAGATCATTGGAGTGTTTCTTTTTTCCTTTATTTATTTTTTTCCCCCTTTGGTGAGTGGTAAGGTGGTAAGGGCTGCTCATGTTTGAAAAGTTCATTCAGGCAAAAAGAATCCATTCAGGAAAAGAGAAACTTAGAAAAAAAAATGATGATTTTTACTTCCATGACGCTGTAAGAAACTTTTATACCTATGGATTTTTTTTTTATGGGGATTAGATAACGTTACAAGCCACACAAAAGGTGCAAAAAGATAAAAATACACCAAAAACCAAAATAAGAAAATAACAGAGCCAACCAGTGTTAATGAAGTACCTTTCTAACCTAAAAGGATTAAGGAAAGAGAAAAATCTTTAAGAGTGCTTGGGATATAGACCAAAAAAGAAGCAGAAAATTCACAGTCCAAAAGAGAAACCCTACCCGAAGACTTATCTTCAAAAACTTATTTTATTTCTTTACACTCAAGTAACAACAGTGCCAAAAAAAATTGTATGACCGAAACCAGGGGTTTTGCAGACAAAGTAGATCTGAAGTTGGCTCACTAAACTCACTTTTTTCAAAGGACTGGGCCACTGAGACCTAGCCACAGTGCAATACAAAGATAATTAACCAATACTTTCATCATTTGACCTGCCTTTAACAAACTGGGTTTTGATCACTTGAGCTTTCAAAAAGTAAGTTTTTCTGAAAACTTGTGAGAAGAAGTTTACAGGTGGCACTTTTGTTTTACGAAGTATGCAATGCTAGATCTCTCTTATGATAAGCTTCTTAGTTTTGTTTATACTTTATGTATGATCTGGCTCTTTTCGGTTTCGTCCTACAGAACACATTTTAAAGTTGGTCAATACTCAATAGAGATTACATTACCTGGATTTTTATTTTATTTTATTATTATTATTTTGAAAATATGGGTTATTAACGATCTTGTGTATGAATGTGCAGTCCTTATCTAAGCGAGAAGCAGAGGAACGACTAAGTGAGGTCAGTTTTTATCTTTCCTATGATGCCTTTTCAGACCTGTGAAGTTATCTAAATCTGTAACTTTTACCTGCAGGGCATGAAGAGAGTCGAAGAGATATTTAATCATGGTGGGAAGGCAGTTGATGATTTGTTAAACATTGCCAAGGTATTCTTCACGTTAACTTATCTTTTGCAATTTCAAACCACGTTTCTTTTTATCATTTTTTTTCTTGGCTTGTTCGTTGAGTTATCCTCACTTTTAAATTGTTGACCACGATGTATTTCTGGGTTAAGTAGTGGCTTCTTCCTTGTTGCCCCCTGGTATCTCAGAGCGTAGGATCTCAATTATATCATTTTCGGCTGAAACGGAATGCCATGATCATACAATATAGTTTTACCATATCGTATCATAATATGTTTTTCTTTTTTTGGGTTTTCTTTAAAAAAAAAAAAAAAAAAAAAAAAAAAAATCTTTTTGGGTTTTTTTTAAAAAAAAAAAAAAAAAAAAAAAAAAACTTAGGGGTGGGGGATTTGAACTATAGATCTCAACATTCGAGGTAAGCATAATTACTGCTAGGCAAGGACTCATGCTAGGTTTTTTTAGACTTCAATTTAGTCCTTTCTTTTTCCTGCTACTGGATCTCCAAACCAATAATATTACGTAGACTTTGCGGGCAATGCCAGTGGTTGACCTCGAAACGCCAACACTTTGTCTTGTTGGAGCTCCAAATGTGGGAAAGTCATCTCTGGTTCGTGTACTCTCTACAGGGAAGCCTGAGGTATGCACATATTTGTTGACTTTCTCTTTAAAGGTTTTGCTGTTCTTTTTCTTTTCCCACATTTTAGTGAACCGTAAAAATGTATGAAATGCTCTTTCCTGTAATGATCGTTATAGAAAATCTGTAATAACGATCATTATAGATTTTTTTTTTTCTATAGAATACTTTTCCCATGTAATAAATTGACATTTTTTTTTTCTTTTTTGTTCTGGTTAGATATGCAACTACCCTTTTACAACCAGAGGAATATTAATGGGTCATATTGTTTCAAACTATCAGAATTTTCAGGTTCAATGTTTTCTCAATTATGTAAGTTGCAAATTTTTCTGGGTTACCACTTCAGCTATAACTTATTCAGAAGTTGACTGCAGGTGACAGATACTCCTGGTTTGTTAAAGAGGTGTGATGGTAAGCAATTGATTTTTTTTTTTAAGAGGTTTTTGGTGATTTGATTAGCTTTTTACATAGTCTTGAGGACTCTTATATCAACATTAACATTTAAATCAAGTTTATACAAACATTTTCGGCTGTTAATAGTACAACGTGGTTGTCTTTCATACACATTTCTTTTGTTTCAATCTGCAGAGGACAGGAACAATTTAGAAAAGTTAACGCTTGCTGTTCTCTCTCATCTGCCAACCGCAATACTTTACGTTCATGATCTCTCCGGAGACTGCGGGACTTCTTCTTCTGATCAAGTACTGCATCCATTCTCTGATATGGAATAGAATTATAGAACTACTGAAATTAAAAAAAAAAAAAAAAAAAAATAATAATAATAATAATAATAAGAAAAATAATATATCAACCCTCTTTCTATCATATATGATTGAAAGAGAGATTTCCGGAGCTCCCACTAATTGTTCAGTGTCTTGATGGTTGTGTGAATTATTTATAGAATGCCTTTTGTTTTATTGATATTCTGTGATAAATGGGCGTGATACTTCTCTCAGTAGGCATATACTTCTAAATTTGGTGAAAGTATAGAACGGTAGCTTAGATAAACTATGTTTTCTCCAATATCGCCTAACGGGATGCGACTTTTATACGCAGTTCATCATATACAAAGAAATAAAAGAGAGGTTCTCTGACCATCTGTGGCTCGATGTTGTATCCAAATGTGATCTATTACAAGATTCTCCCGTGCTCTTCATAACAGAAGATGCCGATGATAATGATGTTGAGCTGTTGAAGTACCGGAAATCGGGACCTGATGGGGCCTTGCATGTTTCTGTAAAAAACGAAGTAGGGCTGAGTGAGGTAAGCTTTTCTACAAGTTCTTGCATGTTTTGATTTCTCTCTATGAAATTTAAATGACTATTTTGACATTAAAAAAAAAGATAAATAAATAAGAGCGAACCTCAATGTACTAGTTTCCACTGCTATTGAAGGCATGAGCTAGTTATTAAGGGCATGTTTGGTACATATACTTGAACTCATGTTTCCGAGTCTGCTGTAGTGTTTTTTATTGTGAATTTGAATTTAAAAATTTCTTCTCTCACAAAGTTCCCGCTAATGAATCAGAATCACTGATTTGAACGCGTGAATCAAACAAACCTTAAGCCCACAATGCACTGACGTAGCATCCCCACTTGGAGTTAAAAAAAAAAAAAAAATGGAAACCACTTGTGAGGCAGAGGACCATTATGAGTTTTTTTCTTCAAATATCATCCTTCCATTGATTAATCACCATCTTTTAGGTTTAAAATTTCTTTCCTATTTAGGGAAATCTCTAATTTGGCCACCTTCTTTAACAATTTCTTTTAAATTTTCTTTTCACTTATACGTGCTTGAAAATTTCGAAGCAAAGTTTAGAAATGTTGTTGCTTTTGTCTGATGCTGTCTTGTTTTAAAACTACTTACGTAATTTTATTATATATCCTGATAACTTCCTACTTCATAAATTGATTTCTCACGCTCTACAGTTAAAAGGTAGAGTGCAAGAGCTGCTGAGTTCTCAGATGGCCAGGATTCAAGCTCAAAAAAGTGACCAAGCAGTCGGCAAAGTTTCACTTTTAGAGACGGGCTTCTGAATGCGTACATTGTGTCAAAAGCTTCTTGCAGAGGTACAACTTCCGGAGTACGAACTCGACATCGGCAAGGAAGACGAACTGGATGAAATTTATTAGTTTGCGAGGAACCAATACCTGAACAGCATGCAGATTTTTGCAAATTCAAGAATCACCATCTTCTTCAGAGTTAGGGAGGATTTGAAACAAAGGCAAAAACGTGAGATATAGTTCGTTGTTGAGATAAAATTAGGCAAGTAATACATATAATATGTTGAATATTGGCTCAATTTGATTTGAGTTTTGTACTTAGAAATTTTTGTTTTTCTAATTGGAGCAATTTTGACCTGTAGAAAGGAGGAAGATGTTTGGTAACTGATTTGGAGGGAATAAAACCAGTTCTCCAAAAAATGATGTATCTGGTTTATTTACACATGTTTTGGTTTTCTTCTTTTTGTTGCATTGATGGATAGCTAATGGCAATTTCAGTGTGAGGGAAAGAATATACACAACTACAAAGACGAACCCTGTGGGCCGTAATACTTCTCAATGGCTTTCGAACATAGTCTCACCATTCTTACACCCAAAAAAAAAAAAAAAAGAACAAATAGCAAAATAGCAATGACGGGTGAGCCGTGATCAAAGGGTCACTTTCATTTGACATCTTTAAACATGAGATGATTGATTCTGTCAATGCCAATATCAGAAATAGGTTCAATGGGCTGATCATCTCCCTCCATGGAAGGCTTTGAGGTTGCGGGTTCTCTACTGAATTCATCTGCAGAAGAGAAAAGAGTGTTAAGTTATATAAGGAGCTGAAAAGAGGAATTTAACAACAAACACAAGCCTGAATTCTCAAAGAAACATGAAACAAGTACAGAAATAAGAACTAGAAGATTGATTGTGTTTTAGCATCTTTGAAACTGCTAAATCGACTAAAGATAGTTTCGAACTTGGAGGAAGGTGAGGAGCGATCTTCCGAAATCTCAAATGTAAAACGAATTTCTGGGAAGAAGATTTGAGGCTCACCAAATAAAGAGTTCAAGGAAGTAGGGGGAGGGGTGAACATGAAGTTGAGGCCAATGTAGAACCCCAATGCTAATACAACCGTCACCATAGCGTAAGTTGGCACTGCCAATGCCCAATACCTGGAGAGACAAAATTCAATTTACAGCATTAAGCCCACAAAAAGTTAAGATAATCAAATAATCAGTAGTTCAAATATTTCCTAATCTATCAGCCTATATCCAGAATGTCTCCATTTTTTTCTCCTTGAACGAAATATTGCCTCAGAAACGAAAAAACCAAGAACAAACAACTAAAATCAAGAGAATCCATGGTAAGGTATTCCTAAGAGATCCCTATTAATAAAAGGCTACAAGCATCTAGGAGCCAAACTCCACCATACTTTATTCCCGTTATGAACATGTCTCCAAATTTAAACAGCTCAAAGCTCTTTGCATAGCTTGAGATGTTTGATAAAATCTTCTTCTCATCATCCTTGTCAAATTTTTTTTTTTTTTCTCATTCACATATGTATACCACCACGTCAAATTTTTCAAAAAAGTATCTCTAAACTCTTTGTTATTCAATTAATCTGGGGAAAAATTGGGTAGACTTTTCCCCTCTCTCCTCAGAGATTTGGCATAAAATGATTTTCATCCTGTCTTGGTCTGATCTAGATGACTACAAATCTAAGCCTTGTGGACTTCTTTTTCCCAAATCCCAACCAAATGGTTTCTCAAGAAGAAAACTGAATAGAAGTAACATTCCACATATTCATTTAACAAAAAATGAAATAAACCAAACTGGACAAGCAGACAAAAATCTTAAACTTCATCAAAATTAAAGATGTAACAGAAATAAACCAAACGGACCTGCTAGGATAGTAGAAGATCCCTACAGAATGCAGCCACGACTCGGGAACATATGCCCATATCAAGAAAATAGCTGCTCACAGCAAACAATCCAGGTGCATGAGAAGCTTATTAAACCCAATGCTGTTAAAGTTTTGAGAAAAGATCTATCTTATTTATGCGACTTTTATGAATGTAAATGTTTTCAGCTGTTAATATTTCCAGTTGGAATTTAAATTAATAGCACATTCGCAAGAAAGTATAGAACAAAGATCCATGATTCCATCTTATGGTCACATATCCATACCATAATACCTTGTTAAGACATTACATTATATTTTGCAACTCACACAACTAGACTACTTGGAGTCAACCAAATCTAAGTTGAATTAACAAACCCCGTTTTTAAAGTGAATAGATAAATCATAAACATAAACTGGACCTGTAGCAACGATGGTTGTGATAGAGCCTACAAAGCCATAAACTTCTGAAGTTTTGGGACCATGTTCTTCAGGCAATCGAAACCCGGATAACTTTTCATCCGGATCTTGGAAGGACACACTTGCCCGCCTCTTCTTTGATAGGCTGAGGATTCTTCTGGGGCTACTGACAGAATATGAATCTTCCATTCTTGGTGCTTTTTTTATATCCGAAAACCCCAAGCCCCTCAAGTGTGCATCTCATTAGAAACCAAAACTCCCACTGGCTGCAGCCTGCATCATCACAAATTCCCACAACATTTTATCGAAAGTTAAGATGTGCTACACACATGATCAACAAACGAACGTTGGCTTATGACCCCAGAAATGAAATTCCCTAGAACGTAAGCAGAGTCTGCGGACTATCTTCTTCTCTGACGAGAGACTTTCTCGCCACTTACTGCAATTGGGTACGCCAAAGAGAGAGACACCCGATTTCACGTTCAAGAGCATTCACCCATCTTTGCTTTCTCAAGAACAAAAGGTAGCCGAAATTCATGGCTATGAACAAACCTACTGTTTTTTACGGTCACGAACAAAAGCCCCAATTTTCTGAGTTACATACAAGCAACACAAGTAAAAATCTAACGATCAACACCTATCTCGCCTCGAGATTAAACTGGTTTCGTCGAAGAGGCATACATCTCATGATTCACGAACACGAACAAACACCCATTTTAGATTTCGTGAAAAATCAAAAGCTGCCGATGAAAAAAGCCACAATAGGGTAGCCGCTGATGAGGAAAGCCACAGGAGGGGATAGCTGAAATTCACTGCTATGAACAAACTCGGGGGCGTTGGTGTGCAAGAATCAATAAGAATCATATTTATAAAAAAATATAGAAAATAATATAATTTTTAAAAATATTATTATTATATTTAGTTTTATACATAAATTTTTTCTCAAATTTTTAAAAATATTATATTATTATATTTAATTGTACATGAAAATATTATGAATTAAAAAATATATTTTTTTAAATGAATAATAATAATAATAATAATTAATTATTACTATTACTATTATAATTATTATAATTATAATAATAATAATAATAATAATTATTATTATTATTATTATTACTATTACTATTACTATTATTATTATGAGATTCTCATGATTTTGAGATTCTTAAGAATTTGAATAACACCTTATTGGGTGAGTTTATGATTACCTCAAAATGTGGTAATATGAAACCCATAGACTTCACTTTCTTGAGTTTTAAAAAAGTCTAATAATTATACCAAACATGAGAATCTAAAAGATTCTCATTTTCACCCTTATGATTACCCCATACCAAACGCCCCTAACTGTTTTTATCAGTCGCGAACAAAAGCCCTAATTTTTTCTAAGTTACATGCAAGCAAAACAAGTCAAAATCTACCACTCAACACCTTTCTTCCCTCGTGATTAAATTGGTTTTGCCGAAGAGACAAACCCCCGAATCACGAACACGAACAAACACCCATTTTGAATTTCGTAAAATTTAACAGCTGCCGATGAACAAAATCACAGTAGACCTTCGGTGGAAAGAAGCCCTTATTTGCATGAGTTAGCTACAGTTAAATGAGGTCTGGCCATATAATTAAAGAATTTCTATTTAATTTTATATTACTATTTTGTCTGCAGCTATCACGTTAGGCTGCCCCCTCCCCTTCACCAGAAACAGTGATATTTGGTAGATGGATTCATTCTCTGATTCGAATTATGGTTTGTGATTTGTTATAGTATTTTTTCTCACAAAAAATACACGTAAATTGAAAATGGTTATAATCATATGGTTCTAATCCATGAACCAAACGCACAGTAACTTTTCTCTTTTAATTAGGGCCATCAAAAGTGATATCCAACGGTTGTAGTTTAGACTGTTCAGGCATTAGAGGTAGTGCCGGACGGAAGACAATTCCTATAATTATAATATTATGAAATATATTATAAAATTATATAATAAATAATAATATTTGTTACAATAATATTATATTATACTATAATATAATATATATTTGCAATATAATATATAATTATTATTATATTTAATATAATACAATAAAACTATTATTATATAACATATATATAATATAATAATATTATTAAAATGGTTAATATAATTATAATATTATAAAACGAATTA